TACAGCAAAAAATTGCCTTATGCAGCTGTTTTTTGCCTGTATAAGCAGGTCTGCAACTAAAATTGTTTGTTGGGAAGTTAGGTTAAGTTTTCTTTATTAGGGAGGCGTTCAGCCTGCGGGTGGTTCGCCTCCGGATTAGAGTACTAATGAAAATGGTCATCTTGAATTTTCGAAATGGCGCATGTGCAAAATATGTATTGCCTCCAAAAACGACTCCTCTCTGCAACATTTGGGCTCAATCGGAGGTGGTGCAAATCGTTAAAGTTTGAGTTTTTTTCATTCGAATGACTTAAAAATGCCTGAGACGTAGAGATCTGGAAAACAATTCAGTGCCAACATTTCAAAAGGGCATAATTGCTTTTGTAAACAATGACTTTAGCCGTCAATTTCTCGCGAATAAAGTCTTACCTCTCCAAAATTCCAATGCTAGCTGGTAGAGGAATCATTCTTCTACCTGCTGGTGTCATTATTTTTCATGCTTTTATTCGCGAGAAATCGACGGCTAAAGCCATTGTTTACAAATGCAATTACGCCCCTTTGAAATGTGGGCACTGAATTTATTTATCAAAATCGTCTTTCTGGGACTCAGATTTTTTCCTTGAGATATGGCACATCGATAAATTGGCGTCTTTTATTCACTATTTTCAAACAACTTGTATATCATTTTAAATCATCACCAGCATCTAATTTCATTTATTTTTCAATAGGGTGGCCCAAAAACGTATATTTAAGCAAAAATCAAAACCTTGCACCACATTCATCTATAAATAATCTAGAAAATAAGATATCCATTAGACTGATGCAAATTTTGACATTTTCGATCCACAGTGCTCAAACGATTCCAAATCGGGTCCTGAGTAGCCTCCCAAAATTTGAACTAATTTGGTAAGAAACTGACATGGCACAAATCATTTGAAGTTTATCCAGCATTTTACAAGCCCTCATGGCCGCCACAATCTGGTTGAGTTTTTGGTAGGGATCATATGGTTTGAAGTTTGGCTTGTGTCGTTTGTCCTGTAAACGGTCAAATTTGATCTTTTATACGTCAAACGTCATAACCCAAACATTAAATCGAATGTACCCTTCCAGAAACTCAGCCAGATTGTGGCGGCCATCAGCGCTCGTAAAATGCTGGATATGGAAATTACTATGGGAAAACTAAATTTTTTGTTCATATCTATCCATCACTTCACCATATAATTCTACTTTAAATAATGATAGCTCCGCCTCTAATTAGTTTTTTTTTTCAGTTACAACTTTGTTCAATACCACTTTTCGATCAAATTTAATGAACAAAAGTTGTGCCAAAAACAAGCTTAGGCACACCTGGGCACAGTCATTGGCACTGTTTGACACCCATGGTTACAAATTTTCTGATCTTTAAAGTTACTGGCAACACTGAACTTTTTCTGGTCCTGCGTAGTATGCACAACAATCAATTCGAAACTAACGATTTAAAAATGGCTCACTATAAGTATACATAAGTATACTTATCGCTCATCGTACACCGAAAAAAGTTTTCATGTAGCTTCCATTGGAAACGCACATGATTTTCATCCATAATCAAAATTAATGGAATTCATCTGAATTACACATAACATTTATGCAATCACATTTATTGTATGTGATTTTTCATATCAATTACATTTTGTGGTGGGATTTGCTGCTATGTGATCACAGAAAAGCTATGTGAAATTCACATGGATTTCATCCATTAGATATGTGATAAATTTTTTGGGTGTAATATTACACTGCCGATGGAATGACCTACACTCTAAAAAATCCTCACGTCCGATTTACGTGAAATATCACGGGGCCTCCCATAGCTCAGTCGGTAAAGGCGCAGCTACAAAGCAAGACCATGCTCGAGGTGGCTGGGTTCGATTCCCGGTTCGGTCAAGGAATTTTTCGGGTAGGAAAATTTCTCGACTTCCCTGGGCATAGAAGTATGATTGGACTTGCCACACAATTTATACCAATGCAAAAATAGTACAGGCATGGAAAGCTAATAACTGTGGAAGTGCATCTAGAACACTAAGTTTTTTTTTAATCTTTATTTTAGAGATTTTTAGCCTGAGGCTAGTTCATCTCTTAGAACACTAAGTTGAGAGCTCGCAATAAGCTAATATGCGATACACAATAAGCTTGAAATGTGAAAAAGAAGAAGAAGAAGATCACGTAACTGATCTGCATTTAGAAAATCTCAAATGTTACGTGACGTTAGTAACTTTGACCTGCATTACACGTCTTGTCCACTAAAAATGTTGGTGAAATCGACCGGTTATTCACGTAAACAGATTTAGTGTATTTGTGTTTTGTGTTTGGGACTTCGATATTTCCGCGAAACGAGATTTACGTGATTTGCAGGTACGCAAAAAAGTCAATATGGCGTCACCCGTGGTGGAAAAATTCAAAACTCCATTTTGTCAACAAACCTTGTAAGGCCATTTTCAAGGTTTGTTTACAAAATGGAGTTAAGGCCATTTCAATTGTTGGTCTTGAAATAAAAAATCTCATAAACATTTCTACCTACCAAGTAGTCGATAATTTGCAATTTTATGAGTAGATATAAGCACAAACGAAGTGACAGACGGAGCGGCTCGAAAACTTTGGTGACTAACCTGCTATTGCAATTTTTCACTGTACCACATGGCAACACCACTACTACTGGATTGTACCACATGGCAACACTACTATTAGATTGAACTAGCATTTTCACCAAATGTACTAGAATGTTTTGGTTCTATCTCATTCACTCTACTCAAAACTGAAATGCATAAAAAAATGACAAAATGATACGCACTCTTTGCACATTGTCAAAGAATCATTGTACACAAAATCAACTTTGTTCAAATCAAAACAAAAAAACTAACCCATCTGGTGGATGATGGCACAAGCTTCCAAGAAAATTCTATTACAGTGAACCACATTATTTTAATGGATTTCTTCGCCAGTTAGTCGTCTGTCACTTCGTTTGTGCCAATAGGCTAGTCAAGTAGTGAGCCAATTTTAAATCGTTAGTGTCCACCGGTTGATAAAACGTTTGTAGCCTAGTTTGAAGAACTAGAATGTGTGAGAGTGAATAAAATAAATAAAACGAAATCACTAAGCTCGCAGGAGCAGGATAGTGTGAGCGCTTGAGTAATTCTAATAGGTCTCAGAGAGAAATATGCAGTAAAAGCATAGAAGTAACTCTAAGACTACTTAGAAGGTCCTGAAGAAACGTGCTCAACTTTTTGGCTCAGCTCTGGTACTCTCTTCGGTCCCAAGCTAATCGATGCACCCCTCGAAACATAGGAAAATCCATGAACCCCTCATTTTATCTGTAAAACTTTCATAGTGAATCAAAACAAACATAGTGTAGTACTAGAATTTCGACGAATGGGGTACGTTAATCGATTTGCTTGGGACCAATAGGCTAGTCCGAGGTCAATATTGAGCATTTTGTTGTTATCGTGAAGGAGATCGTGAACTCAAAATTTTAGTAGCGCCACGAACTTTGAATGAATCAGTGTCAACATTTCAAAGGGGCGTAATTGGTTTTGTAAACAATGATCAATTTATCGCGAATGATATCTTACCTCTCCAAAATTACAATGCTAGCTGGTAGAGAAAACATTCCTCTACCTGGTGGTGTTATTATTTTTCATGAGTGAGCTTTTATTTGCGAGAAATCTATGGCTAAAGCCATTGTTTACAAATGCAATTACGCCCCTTTGAAATGTTGGCACTGAAATTATGTTACCCATCAGTGCGAGAAAAAGAACAGCATACAAAGTTACTCAAATTGTGGGTAAGATTGAAATAGTGTGTATCCACAGTTGATCAATCTTGCATACAAGTCTCGATCAACAATTAAAAAGGGCCTACTATCAGAAAAGCTCGTATACACGGTAACCGCAATATACTCAAACTAGGTACTCAATAATGAATGCATTTTCGTGGGAAAGTAGCGATGTGCGGTATAAGAGGTGAGGAGAAAGGAAACTAGTGGACTCTTTCATTCTGACGGTGTTCTTATGCAACAGCAGACGTGACGTCACGTCTGTTGCTGCGTAAGAAGACGCGAGAACGAAAGAGTTTCCTTTCTCCTCACCTCTTATACCACACATCGGGAAAGTAGGACTTCCCAGTTCCGTAGACCCCGTTAGTTTCAATATCAAATAGCTAAAATGGTTTAGGCATTTGCATAATCGGTACTCGTACACTGCTGCTCAATGGAATCACGCAACTGTGCAAGGGAACTAGTTAAACAAATGCTATATGAACAAAAAATACCATACCCGAACGATAGCCCAAATGATAGAACTACAGACAAACAGACATAATTCATTGAATATTTTTCACTGTAAAACATCGTCACCAAAATACTACTGTTAACAAAAGCTTGTAGGCCGTTTTCAATTGTTGGTCGTCATTGTTTACGTTTGGGCTCTTTTACCTAAAGCCCTACAGTAAAAGTATGGACGACTGTCACCACAAAACTGAAACAAAGCTGTTCCAATCATGGTGATACAGCTTCGTCGCTATATGGGCGAGGAGATCGCGGGGTAGTCACCTTGGTTCCAATCGAGCAAAGCGGTGCATTTTGACGATTCGGTTGGAACAACTTTTGATAGACGTCCATACTTTTACTGTAGGGCTTTACTTTTACCATGCATGGTATTTTTTTACCCATTAATGGGTTTTCACGATACACCGTGTGTTCGTCTGAAATGCAAAAAACGAGCAGTGTGGTCGGTTCTACGGGTTTATCCGTAATTCTACGGATTTTTTAGATTATTTACGGATTTTCCACATTCAAAAAAATTTGCTAAAAAGTGCCCGAAGAAATTCTACGGTTTCCAAAAATGTTCGTGCTCATCACATTCATACATTTTAGTATTTTGATTGACTGTGGCAACTTAGCATTAATTAACACAGTGGAAACAAATTTACCTATCTAAGGATCGTACTCCATGGAAAGTTAACAACACTGCAAACGAGTAGTGAGTGCAGATGTAAATTTTTCTCTCCATCAGCAACTGAAATGCACTGATGGGCATCTTTTTCAAGAGGCAATCGTTTTTATCGAATTGATTTTATTGTGTTTGTGCAACGATAATGTGAATCGCGTAACATGCCTAGACAAGTCAAGTGTTCGGAATCATTGGCATCTAGTGGTGCTCCGTTGGGAAAGCGTAGTTCCAGCAGCCTCATCCGGTCCGATAACACCTCGTCCGAGGACGACAACGATTTGCTGTTGGTGAAGAAATTCCGCTCGGAGCTGAACATCGCCGACAATCGAAGCTGTCGCAGGCTCAAAAACATTACCAATACGGTCGATCAGCTGCCAGCAGCAGAAGTGGTCGAAGTGGCTCGAAAAAAGCGTAAAGTCGGACCGAAAAAGGATGACTCCAGAGAGGAAACTGATCGCCGGACGCCGAAGTGCGCTAAGGTCGCCGGAGAAGATAGGGAAGTGATTGACGAGAGCAAGGAGAAATTGCGCTACGTTTTGGGGAAGCACTACTTCGATGTGGGAAACCGGGTGAGTCTGTATCATGTTCCGGGCTGCTTGAAAAACGTTGACCGCTGTGAGAAGCTCCATGCCCAGCGGGCGAACCAGGCCAGGAGGGTAAGGAAGAAGGTGTTGATGGGTGGGGTAATTGTGTTGAGATTAAATTTGGAATCAATTTGTAGGTGAATCAACGGATCCAACAAGACACCAAGGAGCTGCTGATCGAAAACCGGCCAATGCACTTTTTGGATTATCTGGAGCAAGCCATGTTGCGTAACGAATTCATTGATTCGCAGCTTTTCATCAAAGCGTTGGAGTTGGCGTTGACCATCAACGAACCGTCGGATCAGCTAAAGGTCGACTATTCGGTCAGATCGTTGCTCGAGCAGATCGCGGACATCCTGGATCGGACGGTGGATCAGTTCCCGCCCTGTTGGTTGGATCTGAAGCGGGCCTACCACGGCATAATGTTCGGCAAACTGGAGGAGGATTGCTTCGCCAAATATGACCGAAGTGAAGGTCTATTCAAGGTGGTTATTTTCTTACTGGAACGGTGCGTCGAGAGCGTAAGAGGTAAATGTAGAAGCGTCAATGATGTGTCCCGAACCATGACCATCAAAGAACGATCGATGGCCAATTACTACCTATGGGAGCAGGAGAACAATCAAAAGTACGATTATGATCTTCTCGAGCGTGACGACAAGCTGGAACGACTGTTTCTAGTGCTGCAGATTTTGGTTAAAATTTTGGAATCCGATTTGACTATGTGGATTTTAAGGTTTGGGTTTGTGATTTTGGCTAATGCAGGATAGCTTGGTCAATGATGGGATATTTATTTGCAGGCATCCACACAACGTTAAGGAAAATATGATCCATCCCAGCAGGAAGCCCTTGATTGCGAGTCTGCTGTGGCACGAACATTCCAACGTAGGTGAAGTAAATTCCCTCATAAAGCGTATAATTGCTCTCAACGTAAATGTGACCGCCGTCCGCTATCCGGAAGATATCATTCAGACGCTTTCCGTAAGTCCCAATTTCACGAACAAAAAGAAAAGACCAGACCTTAAAAAATGTCCGCTTCTATTACAGCGCCTAGTATCCCTCACGGGTACTGCCATCAACTTGACCGAGATCCAGTACGACGGGACCATCGAGTATCCCTGCATCAAGGACAACACTCGATACTTTTCGCACCAAATCTGGCGCCATCTGGATGCCTCCAACTACTACAGTGTGTCGCTTTGTTTGCGTTCGATCGAACAAATGCGTTCACCGCTGTTGCGTATGATTTTGGCCAGCGATTTCATTCGGAAGCTAACCCTCCAACAAGCGGACGCTCCTTGCGTTGCTTTCTACCTGAAGCATCTAGTCGAAGGCAAGTGGAAAGAATTCCGGTCGGATAATCCTCCGGAGCCAGTCTCTCCCCGCGATCGATTCCCATTCCTGGATAAACGAAAGCAACGGAAAGTGGCTCACGACATTGGCCAACCCCAGTTCGTAGAGCTACTGCTCGTCGCCTTCCGTGCCTACATGGAGGTCTTCAGTCTAAAGTCCTACTTCCAAAATTTGAAATCACCGTCGGAACCGCAAGCTTCACGGTCACCAACCAGATCCGGAAGAAAATCGACTGATTTGGTGGAAACCCGGAGAAATCCAATCGATTTTGAAACCATGGAGAAGAACATTAACAATCTGTCCAGAAGCTTCGTCCGCACAGAAACGACCATTGTACGCCATTCGGCAGAAGGACCAACCTCCGTTCCTTTGATGCTGGAGGAAATCAGCGTGACGAAGACGTTGATGCTTCGCTACCGGGACGATGTAAAGCATCTTCTGCTGATTAAACGCTGGCTCCAGACCAAGGCCAGTGCGAGGGAAGAATATCGAATACTGTTTAAGCCCTGGAGAAGCTACCTGGCCACGGTCGATGAAACGTTGGTCTGTGAGTAGGACCGGGAGGGATTTTCATTTATCGTTGTAATTGTTGGTGCTCATTGCGCTATGAATACAGGATGTTTATTTTGATATCATGAATCGTTTTGGATTGCGTAGGTTCCTTATCGGAGAGAACGCCCTGCAGTTGTCGTTCGTTCTTGAGTGGGTGGTTGGGTACTTTATAGATAGTGCGATATCGCTCAGGACGGAATGCACCTTAATGTAACCGCGAATTGCTTCGGCTTGGGTTACATTTGAGTCTGTTTGTGTAATGAGTTAGAATCGGTGTATAATGAGTCACGCCGAGAGTGAAGCCAAGTCGACCTATTGAACTGTGAAATCGGCTACCTATCGTCACAGAGAACAGACATGGAAGCTCGAACAAAATTTCTCTAAAAACTTGTGTAAAGATTCCTATTCGACTTAAGCGCCACTAACGGCGACTTCCCCACTTAAAAACCCTCTTTAACAACATGATGGCGCTGGCGTTGCACAAATTACACAAGACACTAAGTGCTAGTAGCGCTAAGTGGCAATTTTCAACAGAAAATGTATCGATACTACCGCCAAATTGGTCGAAAGTGGAAAATTTATAGAGAAAATCAGGAGATGCTAACACCACGTAACGGCGACGTTCCCACTTATTTTACACAATTTTCTGACCGAGCTTCAACGTCTGTTCTCTGTGGTTACGTGGTGTTAGCATCTCCTGATTTTCTCTATAAATTTTCCACTTTCGACCAATTTGGCGCTAGTATCGATAAATTTTCTGTTGAAAATTGCCACTTGGCGCTACTAGCATTTAGTGTCTAGTGTAATTTGTGCAACGCCAGCGCCATCATGTTGTCAAAGAGGGTTTTTAAGTGGGGAAGTCGCCGTTAGTGGCGCTTAAGTCGAATAGGAATCTTTACACAAGTTTTTAGAGAAATTTTGTTCGAGCCTCCATGTCTGTTATCTGTGCCTGCACGGCAATGTGGGCCGTCATAATGGTTCATCGGTTGCGAAGTGAAGTGCTTCTTAAACTGAAGCGATACATTTCTCAATGTTTCAACGTTATCCTAACGTAAACTTAATATTATCACCCATATGCCTGTCCACGCCCGAAACCCATCCACCACACAAAATCAAATAAAAATGTTTCTGTATGGCAAACACGTCCAGACATAAACGAGAATATGGGTGTTTATCTTCACTGTAACAACTACGGGTAATCATCGAAAATACTTGCATTTTACTCAGGCACTTTTGAGCAAACTGCAATCACTCTCTCATACTCGAAATGTGCCACGACTAAATTGGCACAACGACGCCCTATACGCTATCTGACCAAAGCGCAGGGGTATTAGATTTTAAACAATATCTCAACAATTTGTAATTCTTTATCAAATCCAACGTATGGAAAGGTGAATAAATTTAGAAGTCATCATTGGCAGAAATATTCCATTTTTTGTTTAAACTCGTTCATAAAAGAGAGGTGAAGTGCGAGTTGTGCTTAGTTGGACGGAAATTAGATCAAAAACCCTATACAGAGATTAGCGGAAATATTATCAGACGATTTGGCAACGTGATTTGTTTTGTTTACAAAGCTGCCAACATATGCCGCGGAGCAGAATGTTTCAGCCAAGGTGACTACATATAGGTGTTCTAATGTGTCAAATTCATGATTCAGCCATGTTGGATTTTTATATGGGACAGCGACCGAACTTGTTTACAACTTGCTCTAAAACCGCACTCCCCCCCCCCCCCCCGCGACCTCTTCGCCTATATAGCGACAAAGCTGTATCACCATTTATATACCCACCATGGTCACCATGGCGCGTGACTTTATCGTTGTCTAAGCTGCGAGTTTATTTACGTTGTTTGAATAAGATGATCCAAGAGACGTTTCTCAGTGGAACTAACAGCTAGAAAATAATGGTGCTGAATGTAAACATAAACAAAACAGAAATTCATATGAGAGTGAACTGTTAGTTCTACTGTGATCTGTCAAAAGTTCTTGGCAAACAGAAAAGTCAGCTGATCGCAACTGTCTCGTGGACAGCCTTATTCTCCGAGGAATTCTTAGTGAAATGGAGCCACATTGCGCATCTCGAAACGAAATACTTTTTGTACGAACGATTGTATGAAAAAGTTTTTCGTTTTGAGATGCGCAATGTGGCCCCTGGTGAAGTATTTTTCCTTAAATTCCGAATAACATATATTGAATATGAAGTGCATTGCCCTAGCCGCGGTCGTGGAAGTGCAACGAAGTGCAACAATGTTAGTATTTTCCGGTTTCCGAAAAACGCTGAAATTTGCAATAAAAAGGCTGGAGTTTTGCGAACTACCGTCAGATTTTCCCCTAGTGGATTCTATGCGTTTGTGTAGATATGATAATTGTGGCATCTAGTTAAAATGTAATGCTTCTTCCAAACACTAAGATTTTGGTTCCGTGTTCGGTAAATTTTACCGAAATCTGAACAGCTGAACTGTTCGGTAAAATTTATGCAATTAATTATATGATTTGAGTAGTAGCTATACTGAAGATCCGAGAGATGTCGCCCCTTCAGTGGTAGGAAAATCATTTTTGCAGTATGGAGAATATCAGAAAATCCACGATTTGTGACTAAACATGCTTTCACAGAAGGAAACAAATAAACGAGTGTTTACCTTATCACCATAGGACCATAGTAATGTACTCGTGCAATTTTTGTGCACCTAAAACTGCCCATAAAGACGATAATGAATTAAAACTGAAAATTTTCATGCATTTCCAAATGGTTTCCTACCATTCCAATACATTCGAAGTGACTGGCCCTCTGGATGTGGATGATGTAAAAAACAACAAAACATGATTAATTCTATTAAATTGATTTTCAGGTACTTTGAAACTAAATCTCCACTAAAATGACAAGATTTGATCATTTAAACAAGGTTGAACTAGAGTCGGTGTATAATGAGTCACGCCAAGAGTGAAGCCAAGTCCGAGGCCAAGTCTACCTATTGAACTGTCAAACCGGCTACCTATCGTGCAAAGTAAACAAGCATTACGATGCTATGAAAGGTCCACGAAAGGTATTGCCATTAAATCGAGGGGGGCGACTCTATCTAAGATGCAGGAATGTTGCTGTTGTGAGATGCACTCGCGCTTAATAGATAGAAATACGATTGATTATGATTTTTAAGATTTCCTGAAAAAAGGTGGAGAGCGATGCGAGAAGATGGGCTTAGATGCAAGAGATGAAAAAAGATTGTTCGTAGATTGATTCACTAGTGTAAGATTTTTCGACCATTCAAAATCGAGATTTAGATGTGTCGCACCCCTCGCATTAAATATTAAATATAACCGAAGAAATGATCATATACACGCAGTGAGCATTACATTTGTCATGCGATACGTTTTGTAATGATCAGTAATGACAATTTCTACTATTTTTTCTTAAGATAAATCCACAAAATCACTGATATAATGATATACTACAGCCGTTATTTTTTTCCTCGCTAGAAGTCATTTGAAGTTGATGCAGAAGTCCTCTGTTGCCAAGTTAAAAGAAAGGGAATCTTTCGAAAACCGTGATGCGAGTTCAACTGTTTTTTCTCTTGGCGTGACTCATTATACACCGACTCTAGGTTGAACATGTTTTAAAATTATTTTCAATTTCAATAGCCTTCAAAATGAAGGTCAAAGTTTTACCGAACATTCAGCTGTTCTGATTTCGGTAAAATTTACCGAACACGGAACCAAAATCTTAGTGTGCAGTACCACCATAGAGGTAACTCTAAGACCACTGGGTCCCGAAGAAAATCATTATAATTTTTGGCTCACTCAGTACCAGAACAACGGTCCCAAGCAGTCCCAAGCTATTTCACTCACCCCTGCATGTTCTGCATGAATCCACACACCCCTGATGTTATCTGTCAAACTTTCATAGCGAATCAAAACAAACATAGTGTAGTAATAGAATTTCAACTAGAATAGGGTACGTTAATCGTTTGCTTGGGACCAATAGGCTACTAAAGTGGTGAGCCAATTTAAAATCGTTAGTTTCGTATTGATTGTTGGTACCACTTCGAGCACACGCATTTTTATTTTTCTACAGATGGTGGGAAACTTCTGAAGCTGCCTGGAGCGATCCCGGTTCATCAGCACCAAATGCATGTTGTGTGAAAACCATTCCGTGGTTTGACGTCGCAATGCTTTTGACCAACAATATCTTCAAACTTTGTTTGAAGCTATTTTACCCCGATTGCAATACTTTTCAACTGAAACATTCTGGCAAACGATAAACATGCTCGTTTGGCTCACATTTTGACAGTTTTCGCTGCTCGATTGTCTCAAGATGGCCGCTTCCGCGAATCTCTATATATAGGATTACTAGTTGAGAATCGATGTTCTAAACGATATCAAGTCTGGAAAAGTTCGAAACAGTTCGGCATAAAGGGTGTCCACGATGAAATTGCCACACTATGAAATTGCTCTAACTTTTTAACCGTTGGGTACAATTTAATGAAAATTTGGGTGGATTTAGTTCATAGTGCATTATTTACATCCTGCAAGTTTTAAAGTCCTGTGATCAAAACTCGCGGAAATGGAGTCGAAAGAACAGCTCGTGCGTGATAAAATCTTGCGCATTCATCACGAGAACAAGGATCTCTCGCATCGTTCCATCGCTAAAACGTTGGGAATCGCGAATTCCACGGTGTCGCGAGTGATTAAGCGGTTCGAGGAACGGTTGACCACCGATCGGAAGCCCAGAAGTGAAGGAAAAAGTATTCCGTACAACACCAAAAATCACAACCGCGTAGTTGGGGCCTTCAACCGAAATCCGAACGCCTCCGTTAGGGATGTGGCTAAGAAGCTGCACCTAAGCCGAAGTTTTGTCCAGAAGGCCAAAACTAAGGCTGGGCTTCGAACGTTCAAGGTACAAAAGGCCCCTAATCGCGACGAGAAGCAGAACAAGTCCGCCAAAACCCGTGCCAGGAAGTTGTACCTCAACATGCTGACGAAAGTTGAATGCTGCATCATGGACGACGAAACATATGTGAAGGCCGAATTCAAACAGATCCCCGGCAACCTGTTTTTCACGGCCAAGGATAAGTTCAGCGTTCCGGAGCATGTCCGCACTCAGAAAATGTCCAAATTTGCGAAGAAATTCCTGGTTTGGCAAGCCATCTGCACGTGCGGGAAGCGGAGTGCACCTTTCGTGACCCAGGACACGATGAACGGACAGGTGTACATAAAAGAGTGCCTCCAGAAGCGGCTGCTTCCTCTCCTGAAGGCCCACAACGTCCCAACAATCTTCTGGCCGGATTTGGCCTCATGCCACTACTCCAAGGACGTGCTGAAGTGGTATGCGGACAATAAGGTCAATTTCGTGCCGAAAATGTTCAACCCTCCCAACACTCCCGAGCTCCGCCCCATCGAGAAGTACTGGGCGATTATGAAGCAGCACCTTCTTAAACGACCTAAGGTAGTGAAGACAGTCGAGGAACTGAAGAAAGTATGGGTTTACATGCAAAAAACGGTTGATTCACAGGTTGTGCAGAATCTTATGGCCGGGGTTAAGGCCAAGGTGCGGGCATTTGCGTATGGACTGTAAATAAAATACGAGTAAAATGGTAAAATGAAGTTTAATAGTTATTTCTCAATCCCTGAAAATTTGATGGCAATCGGATGAAAACTCGAATTTTGCGAATCAATTTTGTGTGTGGCAATTTCATCGTGGACACCCTTTATCCCCTTTATGATAATGTTGGAATATTTTAATTACTGCTTCTATAAGCCCTACACACTTAGTTTTTTTCTACCGAGCTCGGCTGTGCAAATCTCGGCAAAAAAAGTTTTACTGAGATCTCAGCAAACATTTCATTTGTTTGCTGAGATTCAGCTAAGCATTATCCGAGACTCAGTAATCAAATGTCACTTTTGCTGAGATCTCAGTGAAACTTATTATTGCCGAGATTTGCACAGCCGAGCTCGGTAGAAAAAATTTAGTGTGTAGGTTTTCGAATCGTTTACCGCGTATATAGGATCAGTGAGCATGTGTCATGGTCTGAAAAATACTGCTGTAAACTTTCAGAAACGGTTGTTGTATGTTAATATATCTAGATAGAGCTGGAATTAGGGCGTAACAGCTTTTGTAAACAATGACTTCTCTCGATGGTATCTAGAAAGCTAAGACTCGCTCACTCAATACAATGTCCCCACCGGGTAGGGGAAGACTTCCTCTTCCCGTTGGTTAGCTTGGTTTGCGTGGGCGTGCCTTGAGTTTTGAGAAATCTTCGAGAGAAGTCATTGTTTACAAAAGCTGTTACGCCCTAATTCCAGCTCTATCAAGATATGTTAATGGACTGTTTTGGAATCAATTTATACTTCAGCTTTGGATTTATATTTACTAAATACAAACAAACTAATGAAGTTTTTTTTTAGAATTGGTTTGTTTAGGGGTATTGAGGTAAATACATATTCGTTATCTGCATTGAAAATGGAACCGAAATCCAAAATTTCATCAATTTCGGTAAACTGGAACTATTTTTAATAATTACGATTACATTAGCAAAAATCACCATCTTAATGCTCCTTGGACTTTGTATGGGAGCGAGCTGTCAACGAATAGATTTAGTGTCAACGATCAAACATTTAAATCTTGATTTATAAATCGTGATGGATGTCTACGGGACCGACAAAAATATCGTTGTGTTCAGAAAATGAAGCTCTATCAGATGATGTATAAAAATCTGTATATTTTTCGAAGTTAAACAACCCAATTGCATACATTATATTTCACAATTGAAGAATCAAAGTGACGATTGACTCAAAGATGGCGAGTGGGTGAAAATGGTAATGACGTTTTGATATCTGTCAAAATGCATGACATTTTTTTTAGTGCATCATCATTTTTGTGCATGCAAAACAATCGAATGTAAACATTATTTGCAGTGGTGCCAGAATTGATTTAAAAAATTGCTTATCATGCGGGGGAACGGTGTTTGTGGGTGTCTGAAGTGTGTCGAAGTGTGTTTCTGCGGGTGTTAGCACAATGTGGCAGAGTGACTTACCCCCTGGCAGTGTTCGGAAAATCATTCTCAAATCTCATTCATTGAGCCTCCCTGCGAGAATAAACTCGCGTGCGAATGCGGCAAACAAATTTCACGCTTGAGATTCTCATGCATATTCACGCACTCACACTCACAACGCCGAAAAATCATTCCAGCTTTAAACTCATAAAAACCACTCAAACGTCAATTGATATCATGCCTATGCATGTTGTGTTAGTTTTCCAACCCCTGATGCACAAACAATAGTAATAACAATGAATAACGCCAAAATATATATATATATTTTTTTTTCCTTTGGTTTGTTTTTTCCGTCGATCTTGTTTTCCGTGCTGAGCACCAATGCTACTGACGTGCCAGGAAGGCAGCTCCCACACCTGGACCCTACCTATCGACCCATCAACTCATGAACCGGGGACCAACGGCTTTACTTCCCATCCGAAGGAAGGCGTAATCAGAGATGTTATGCCTCAGAACATCCCGGCGGCGCCGACTGGGATTGAACCCAGGCCTGCTGGGGTGAGAGGTAATCACGCTTACCACAACACCACCGGCGCCGTTATCGCCAAAATATAAAGCAATGAATTTTTGAACCTGAAAACTCATCGGTGATTTTTGCGACGTTGAATTTTGCAAGGTAAAACTCATAGGCGCATAAACTCATGTATGAGATTTAAGTTTTTGAGTTTCTCCGAACACTGCCCCCTTGGCAACTCGAAAGGCAGAACTGTAAAGCTGGGTTTAGACCAAGGGGGGGAGGTGGCTGTCAAATACGAACAATCGTCGCCTACCTCGCATAACTGGTTCCAAACGTAAACAATCCATAAGAAACCTACAGCGTTTGTTTACGTTTGGAACCAGTTTCATACAAGATGATCAGTAGGCTGATTTGACAGCACGTCCCCCCCAGGTTTAGACATGGCAAGTCAATTGATCAAGTCAGTTGAACTTGAACGCGAATTGAACGTGTAAACTATGCCATTCATCTGACTTGAACAACTCAGTTGAATTGAAAAAAGTTGAACCAGGCTCAACTTTTCAAGCCAATTGAATTCAACTGAGTTGATCATTTGACTTGCCTATTCTAAACCCAGCTTAAAGCTGGGTTTAGCCAGGGCAATTCAATTGATCAAGTCAGTTAAATTCAACTGACTTGAACGCGAATTGAACGTGTAAACCATGCCATTCAACTGACTTGATCAACTCACTTGAATTGAAAAAAGATGAACCAGGCTCAACTTTTCAAGCCAATTGAATTCAACTGCACCTCTGGATGATTGAATTTAAGGATGGGACTCGGATGCGATTACTTTGCTTGATGGGACACACTGGCATGATGTTGTTTTCGCATTTTTCATGATCAAAGTCCGTAGTTTTATTTCTCTGTGGTTTTACCACATCATATGAAAGTAGATGCCAATTGATAGTGGATAGTGTTATCTCAAAATTGATGAAAATCCATATGTGACTTATATGCGATTATAGACAGTATACGCATTTATCAGTGAAAACGATCAGCAGATAACGTTAGGGAAAAAAATAATAGATAGTGTATTCAAGTTCAAAACAGAATTGCAATGTATCCCAATTCCTATATATACATTCATTACCATCGCATTATCGTTGGCTTCCGCCCCCAACTTTCGAACCCTTCTGAACCAGATCATTCTTCTTCAAACACGCAACACGTGTGCCAACAACAAGAATGAAGGAGCGCATGCGCATTCATCCGGTAACGATAGCTCCCGTGTACACACACGCACACAGTCTTCCCTTTCCCGGTGGGGAAAACCATTGGCAACGCGGTGGCCAAACAAACCACCGGAACCAAATTTTCACATACCATACTCAGTGTGTGAACCATGAACTCCGGCGAGGACGACATCTACGGCGGATTCTCCGGCGTTACGAACAAGCTTTTCAACTACGACATCAAGGAGGACAAGGCATTCCAGAATGCGGTCAAGACCTCGAGCTACGGAAAGAAGACGTCCACGCCCAAGTTCTACTGGGTAGGTACACTACGACGGTAGGAAGCAAAAGCCCGTGATAATCGGGGAAAACGGTTTTTTTCAGAATGGGGACAAACTGGGTTCAGCGGAAGCTACGGCCACCATGGCACGACCTTCAACGGCCATCCGTCCGGTGGGGTATTCGTCACAGAACAGCAAACTGTTCGATCCGCTGAATCAAGCCGCGAAGAAGATCGTCGTGATGGAGAGCAAGAAAGAGGAAACACCGGAACAGCGCTACAAAAATATGGAAACCAAGATATATGCCCTGCTGGAGGAATCGATCATCGCCAGCACCGGTTCCAAGCCGGACATGTCGGTTGGATTGGCGAAAGCGAAAGAGGCTTCTGCGTTGGATCGCACTCTGCTCCGCATGAGGGACCAAGATGGCGGAACGTACACACACAACTTTGATCTGACGTTCTTCGTGCTGTTCAATCTGGCCAACGTCTACGCCAAGAATGAGATGTACATCGAAGCACTGAACACGTACACGTTGATGACCAAGAACAAGATGTTTCCCAATGTGAATCGATTGAAGATCAACATGGGCAACATTTACTTTCAGCTAGGGCTGTACACCAAAGCGATCAAGATGTACCGGATGGCGTTGGATCAGGTGCCCAGCAATCAGAAGGAACTCCGATTGAAGATCACTCATAACATCGGTATACTGTTCATAAAGATGGGACAGTATTCGGATGCAGCGACCAGCTTCGAATTCATAATGTCCGAGAAGGGTGACCTCAAGACCGGGCTGCACTTAATCCTCTGCTACTATGCTCTGGGAGATGTAGAAAAGGTCAAGCATGCCTTCCAGCTGCTGTTGGACATTCAGATCGACTACCTGGAAGACGAGAAGATCTTTCAATCGAATGTGAGTGAAATGGTTTCTGAACTTCATGAGCGGTATTTAAGACAGATGTGTTTTTTTTCAGTCCAATCCATCGTACGAGTACATCAACGAGATGATCAAGTCGGACGAGATGCACGTCTACGAACAGAAGATACGCCACCTGGCGGAGAAGAACATCCTGATCTCAGCCAACTTGATATCAACCATCATTGACGACTACTTCAATGATGGCTACAGCTGGTGCGTTGAAACTATCAAGAATTCTTACTTTTCATCCTTGGCCGTTGATCTGGAACTGAAGAAAGCTGTCATCTACCTGAAGCAGGACGACATCCAGCAGGCAATCGAAACTCTCAAGTACTTTGAGAAAAAGGAGTCCAACATAGCTATCAATGCGGCGATCAATCTAAGTTTCATCCATATTCTGGTAAGAAATGGTGCCTTTGTCATAAAACCGCTCAACCTTCTAACGCCCTCTCGATTCCAGAAAAAGGACATCACCACTGCGGAGACGTACACCGAAACCGCGAAGAAAATCGACAGCTACTGCCCGGCGGCTTTTATCAACAGCGGAGTCTGCAGCATGCTCAAAAATGACCTGGAAACGGCCAAGCTAATGTTTCTCAACGCCCTGGACATCGATTCAACTTCGTTCGAAGCGCTCTACAACATTGGACTGATCTTCAAAAAGCTAGGCGATCACAACAATTCGCTCCTCTACTTCCGGAAGATCATTTCCAACCTGGGCCACGAGCAACACCCGGAAGTCCTGTACCAAATTGCTAGCCTATATGATCTGCTGGGTGATGTCGGAACGGCTTTGGAGTACTACCTGCAGCTGTTGAGTTTGGTTCAGCAGGACAACAAGATCATCCAGAAGATCGGCGAACTATACGAAACGGATGGAGAAAGACAACAGGCCTACCACTACCATCACGAGTCCTATCGCATCTTTCCGATCGAGTCCAGTGTGATCAACTGGTTGTGCTCGCACTACATCGAACTGCAGGTGGTGGAAAAAGCGATCGGATTCTACGAAAAGGCCGTTCTCAAGAACCCCCAGGATCCTTACTATCTGCTGCGGATCGCCGGATGCTATCGTCGAATCGGCAATCAACAGAAATCGCTGAACCTATTCAAGATGATTCACGATATCTACCCGGAAAATGTGGACTGCCTACGAGCGTTGATTCACCTCACGCAGACGCAGGGAAACAACGAACTATGCGAGCGGTACATGGGTGAACTGCAGAAGCTGGAAAAGCAAAAGGAAGTCCGCCAGAGGATCAACACCAGCAGGCCTCCGACGACGGCGAGCAGTTCGCGGATTTCCAGTGGTGAACACAGTGCCCGATCCGGCGGTGGAGGAGGGGTAGACAGCTACCAACCACCGGGAACGGCTTCCGGTGGAAGCAAGAGCACGGACGTGTCTCCGGGTAAGTTCAAAGTGATGAGAATAGGCAAAACGAGCTTAATGATTTCGATTGCAGATTACAATGCCTTGTCGAGCGCTTATGGTTATGCGGATCCGCTGGGGCCACCACAGGAGCGTCCACGAACCGGAATACGCAAGAACGTTACGCTGGACGATGACTCCGATGAGGACATCAATCCGTACGACCTGTTGCCGGTGTAGGTTCCTAAGCCGATGAATAGAGTGAATCAAAGGAGCACAGTACCACCGACAAACCGACATGACACTCAATTTTGACTTATGTCCGAAAATCGTAAACGGCCGAGTTAAATGTGCAGTGATCCGAACTGTCAAAACCATAGGATTTTTTGATCTAGATAAAAGTTATTTGTCCAGAATAGATCAGACACGAGCCAATTCATAACTTTTGCATGCGGGTTCATAGCTTAGCTAAATATTCCCCGTGAACGCGGAGCCAGATGTCATTAGTGTGCTTGTTTGATTGTTTTTGTTATGGTTATTCATGTCGGTGAGGTGACCGCACCGACAAACCGACATGAATGACCATAGCAAAAACAATAAAATCTCTGACCAAAGCACACTACTGACATCTGGCTCCGTGTTCGCGGGAAATATTTGGCTAATCCATGAACCCCCATGCAAAAAATATGAATTGGTTCGTGTCCGATCTATTCTGGACAAATTATTTTTATCTAGATCCAAAATCCTATGGATTTGACAGTTCGGATCACTACACGTTTAAATCAGCCGTTTACGATTTTCGAGCATAAGTCAGCATTAAGTGTCATGTCGGTTTGTCGGTGGTGACCGTCACTAGTGAAGATTTCGTGCCCGTTTCTAGTGGTTAGTCAATATACATTTATTCAAAAATAAACAAGGTACAAAATTCACTCAATAACCTTACGCGCTGCAGACCATCGTGATATTGACAAAACACTGAATCCCCTTAAAATAAATGGCTTCAAAATACAGTGCATTATAGATAGGCTCGACCACTCGAATTCAACGGATGTGGCGTAAAAATCGAACAAAATAAAAGTTTAACAAGTACCAACCCAAAGAGTACCACGAGTACACTTATTAGACCGTCTCGAAGTCGTAGAGCCGCCACTCCTTGATCGGTTCCAGTTCAATCGTTTTCTGCTGCTCGCGCCAACTTTCGTACCGATTGTGGAATAGAACGCCATCGAAGATTGGATCATCTCGAAAGTCCTTACCGTGCAATCCGACGAGCCGTACCGCACTGGCCACCAGGACGTACACCCTCGGATAGAGAAACGCCAATCGGAACGGGCGACCCTCCAGACGTTGAGGATAGGTGACGCCGTGCATGTCGTACGTGTTGTAAACCACGTCATACGCCATTTTCAGAAACAGATCCGCTTCGAACACCTTGATCACCTGCATGTCCACGAGGTAGCATAGAGTCAGTACGGTTACCAGAAACTTGTCCGGGATCCACTTCAACGCAAGTGGTTCCAACTTATCTGAGACTAGCCAGCCGCACAGCTGGTACTTGGTGATCACATATCTTTCGTGGATATCCGGCTCCAGGGACATCAATTTATCCAGTGGCGGAGGCTGAATATTTTTCGGAAATTGAACCTGCAGATAGTGTTCCTTGTGTTTTTTACCATCTTTTAGTTTGGTGAGGAATTGACATGTGGAGTTGCCACGCTTTCCACGACGCTCATACCGGATGATTCCGGCCATACGCAAAATAAGTGTCACCAGTAGTTGGTTGTGTTTGGGGCCAAAGTCTTTGCCACGCATGTCAATAAACCCGAGAGAAACATCAATTGACTGTCCTTGCCAGATCTGATAGAACAGCGGAGTAACTTGACTCAGCAGAAAAGCTTGAACGGCAGTGCGTTTCGGATTCAAATTTGGAGTTACACAGTTCTGGAAAAGTAAATTTGATTGATTTCAATAGATTCTTACTGCCTTAAATACTAACCGTTTGATAGAACTGCAAACATTTCTCAAATCGACTTCGCTTTTGACGATTTGAAAGTTTTTTATTGTGCTCCTTGTAGCCAAATACCCGCTTCAAGATGCTATAACCACCATTACCTTCTGGCGGAACAGACTGCTCTTGCACGAACTCGGCCAACCTGAGAAATTTCTCCTCATTAGTTCCCAAGCTGTTCAGGAATTTTTTTAACCTCTTGAGCTCGATGATGCTGTTTCCGGCAAGCGTTCCGAAGAGTGGCATCTGCTTGAAGTCGAGACCCAGGTGCGATACCAACGCCTTCCGGTTGAGCTCCTTGGTCTTCAGGTGCGTAATATCAGTATCATTGGAGGACCACAGATGCCAGTCGCCTTCGTAGATCAGAAAATCCGTGTCCGATGCAATAACCGCCAGCGCTCCCACCTTCGAGGCATACGAAGCCAACTCTTGATGGCACTCGTGAGCCATCGGCAGCACTACGGTGCCATGCTTCAGAGCCAGATACTTTAGCGGATAAAGAAAATTATGTGGTGCCTTGTGGTGACGCATCAAATAATCGATATCTTTGTCCTGGTCTACGGAATCGATGAGACGGAGATGCTTTTGGTATATTTCGTCCTGTAGCCTTAGCCACTTTTTGTATTTGCTGCTATCCATCGGACCATCGTAGAAAAACACCAGCTTGGCACCCAGGCTTACCAGCTTCCCGAAGAAAGCATCGATCGTGGAATACGCCACGTTGAACCTGCCACCGCAAAACAGACCTTTGATGTCCTGCTCGCTGATCGGAACGCACAGCGAAATCAAATCGATGACGATTACGGGGGGACCTGAAGCTTTGCTGCAAGTTCCGTTAAAAACGAATTAATAAACAGCTAACCAGCGGGAAGCAGCGCCTAATTTCACTTACCGAATTTCCTCTTGGATGTCCACTGGAATGAATCCGTTGGGAACGTTCTTACGGATGAAGCTATCCAACTCAACAATGCCCATTTTCTCAAACTTTTCAATTTAAATTTGGAAAAAGCTAAGCCGAGCAGCCGAACCAAAGGTCGACGATGATTCTTCTGTTGGAACCGGATTAAAATCAATGACGTTTGTATAAGGTCCGGGCCAAAGGGCTGATTGGTGTTAGTGAAATGTGCAAATGTTTAGTGGTGTTCGTATTTTATTGCAATGTTTATCTTTTTACACGAAACAGCTGTTGGCAGTGACGTATTTCTATCTGTTCGGAGATGTTCAGCAATGTTTACAACATTTTTGTTTCTAACACCAGCAAGCTGCCTGTTGGCCCAGACCTTATATAAATGTCATTGGGTAGCATTGGTGCTCAGCACAGCTGCACGGTAAGAAAAAAGTACCCAACAACCAGTTCACTTTTACCTACTTTTGACTAGAAACACTGGAATTTCTACTTTTGACTAGTTTGTCTCATTTTCTCCTTCTAATGTTGTCAAAAAAAAAGGAGCAAAGCCACCCAACAGGAGTAGTAAAGTGTGGGAACTAGAAACACTGGAATAAGAGACCAGCGGAGAAAAAAAACATGAATTTGGCAACAAAATAAACATCAAAGCAATCCTGGCATCACTTGCATTTGTAACTGCTTGCGAGTGACTTCGCCAATGCACCGACGATCGAGTTCATGAGTGATTGTTAAACGATTTTAATACTCCTCCCTAATTGAAGCAAACCATTTGTAAACATTGCAGACTGGAACCGCTTTTGACAGTTCGATTGGAATCATAACAGTGTCTCCGCTGGTCTCTTATTCCAGTGTTTCTAGTGGGAACCCAACGTTGGGTATAATCATATTTACCTACTGTTGGGTACAACTAACTTACTTTTGGTTAAAAAGCTAGTGGAAAATTCCATACGAACTGCACACAAGTAAATCAAAATTACTTTGACCCATGGTGGGTATATAAATGGTGATACAGCTTTGTTTCTATATAGGCGAGGAGGTCGCGGGGGGGAAAAGTGCGGTTTTAGTGCAAATTGTAAACAAACTCGGTCGCTGTCCCATACAAAAATCCAACATGGCTGAATCATGAATTTGACACATTAGAACACCTATATGTAGTCACCTTGCTTTGACCCGCTTTACCTACTTTTGGGTTCCTGCACTATAGAGATTGCTGACGTTTATCGTACGCACACTACGTCACGTATACGTATACGCAAAATGTTTTCATCGGGAAAAAAAAACTTCATAGCGAAAAATTTTCCCGATGAAAACAAATCACTGACACAATCATACTTTAGCAATCTCTATAGTGCCGAGATGAGTGAAAAGAACTTAATTTTGGGTACTTTTTTCTAACCGTGTGGGTGGCAGCCCTATCTTGTTTGCCTTGCCTTGAAAAGAGCTAACATCGCTGCGGGCCCGCGAATCGTGGGCCCCGCACTGACAGCTCATAATTTGTAAACAAATCGAAGATTCAAGCCAGAATTTCAAAAAAGGCGTGACTGATATTTTAGATGTTCTTAATATTTTTGCTTACATTTTGTGAAAAATAAACTTAGAACTCATAAAATATTATTTTATGATTTTCTACCACGAAGTCAACCATTTATATGGCATAAAAGGGAAAATATTTTCATTTGATAAAAATAAGACAATTCAGTCACGCCATTTTTGCAGTTCACACTTGAATTGTGACGTTTCAGATGTTGGTTTCAATCAATGAGCTGGATTACCGAGGTGAAGCAATCGGTTAGGTTGTGTGAGTAAAACCCCTGTAAGATACAAGCAAGTAGTGACGTCACTACTTGCGTTTACGTTGATTTTTTGGTTTACTAATACAACCATATTTCACGATCTGCTTCACCTCTCTCTGTACCTCATTGGGTTTCAATAACATATATGTGTTCATTTTTAGTAAACAGGGCCCCACTGTTGTGTCACTTTTTGTCGATTGAGTGAACTCAAATCCTTCCGTGCACTCGTTTATTGCGGCATGCCACCCAGCTGGCTCAGCATAGAGTCGGTGTATTAGGTTCTGCAGCGTGACGTCACAAATGAACTCAGTGTTAATCGGCTGAACCTTTTTGACAGTTCAGTGGTACTGTTTACAAGCACTTAGTCGTTTTTTTTTCGAAAAAAACAAATTCTAAAATTTCCGAATTTTAACTTGAAAATTGTCGAGGAACAGTGCAGTGAAAGGATGTTGCTCGTGGACAATGCAGAAGTGTGGTTTACATCTCACTGCTGCAGTCTGAAAAATTATCGAGAAAATCTACCCAAGAAAAAAAAACGACTAAGTCCACGTAAACAGTACCACTGAACTGTCATCAGATTGAGGTTAACCCCGACGGTGCAAAACCTAATAATGAGTCACGCCAAGAGTGAAGCCAAGTCTACCAATTGAACTGTCAAACCGGCTACCTATCGTGCAAAGTAAACAAGCATTACGATGCTATGAAAGGTCCACGAAAGGTATTGCAATTAAATATAAAATATAATCGAAGAAATGATCATATACACGCAGTGAGCATTACATTTGTCATGCGATACGTTTTGTAATGATCAGTAATGACAATTTCTACTATTTTTCTTTAAGATAATTCGACAACATCACTGATATAATGTTTTACTACAGCCGTTAATTTTTTTCCTCGCTAGAAGTCATTTGAAGTTGTTGCCAAGTTAAAAGAAAGGGAATCTTTCGAAAACCGTGATGCGAGTTCAACTGTTTTTCTCTTGGCGTGACTCATTATATACCGACTCTAGCTCAGCACGAAAAACAAGATCGACGGAAAAAACCGAGGAAAAAACAAACCAAAGGTAAAAAAAAAAAAAAAATATCGACATGAGCATGCATAAGGGCGAAAACGCTATGATCGATTCTCTGCGTCGACACAGCAAAAAAAAAGAAAGTAATATCGATTAATGTAATTCAAGCTGATGTATGAAATAATCAGGCATAACATTTGATAACGGCACAAAAGCATTTGTAAACAAACTTCCTAAGGCCCTTGACACGCGAACCAAAGTACGCCCACGCAAATCAACAACATCATCGGATAGGTGATAGTTGCCCCTATTCGATGATGTTGTTAGTTTGCGTGAGCGTACTTTGGTTCACGTGTAAAGGGCCGTAGACAGTTTGTTTACAAAAGCTTTTGTGCCGTTATCAAATGTTATGCCTGTAATGATGTAATGGCAAAAAGCAGATACAATATTACATCAATGGATGTAATTTTGTTCGCAAAATCGATGTACATCGTGCAACGTTATATAACAGACAAACAGACGTAACACTTCATTGTGTATCTTCGTTCACGCATTTAACGGTTGATTTGAATATTATCAGTTCCGCGAACTACTCGCCGCAGCGCTGGCATCGGATCACTTTGACGTTTCTATACATTCTATAGAACTTTTATGCAATATTGTTTGCGAGTTAGCGAGCAAGCTTGCATTCCGCGAGAAGCCTGAGAGATATCGTTACTGAGGTCCTATGTTTTGAGATACAATGTTTTCAAGATAAACTTTTTCAAAGAGTTACGTCTGTTTGTCTGTGGTTATATTACACAACTGATGGATTGACCTGGTTGCAGCAGTTTGGATGTAATATTGGGAGATTGCCGCAAAAGCTCAACGCAGATGTCGCCACTGCATGATGATGATAATGTTGACAGACTGCATATAAGATTCGTGAAAATTAGCATTAAATCATAATTTTTATCAAGCCTGCGTAAAATCCTTCCAATATAACATTCGAATTGAAGAAGAAAACGTTTTTATGATCAGACTGATGTGCATCTTTGACTTTTCCAGGTGAACTTTCATAAGATATATTCATTTCATTTCAATGCTGCATCGTAAATATGATATAAACAGAAGTAAATTGCTCAATTACTCAAAATAAAGATGATTTGTCATCTTGTTATCACTTTGAAGACCATCTAGCACCATTTTATAGTATGGTGCGTGTTGAGTAAATCAAGTTCCGGTGCGTTTTCCGTCAAAAATTGTCAGTATCAATATGTTTGCTTAAAAAAGGCCAAAATGAACATTTATTGAATATTGGCGTCCTATCTCGAAACAGATCATCCCCGAACACCAAACTTAGAAAGAGGCCGGTATGAGGACCAGCGTCAGAAACGACAAAACGACGCTAATATCACAAGTTTCACTGGTTTTACTCAACTGGATCGGATCGGACACCCACTCCGTCGACCCCGAGGTCGACCCCCTGGATCCAAACATCCACAGACTTTCCATAATCGCAGGAATTTAGATGCCCTGTCTGCAGATTTCCATTTATTTGCTATCCATTTTATTTTGTTTTATCCCGCATTCAAATGCTAAAATTATTTAAAAATTTGTTTGTTTATTTTAAACATGAAAAGGATGTTTAAAATAAACATATTTATTTTTGATCGCATATAGTTTTCAAATAAATCAAAAATATTCACGTTTATTTTCAACACGATTTTTTTAAAAATAAACGAAAAATTATTTTTGTTTTAAACATTATTATCAATGGATTCAAACATAGAATACGTTTGAAATCAACCTAGTTTATGTTTGTGGCCAGAACAAACTGATTTTACGTTTAAATTTACATCAAATATTTTTGTTTCGACGGTAGATTTTTTTGCGTGTTGGTTTAGTTTTGATCGAACTGGGTGAATGGATCAATGAAAATGCTGAGGCTACCACAGCATTTTACATTTGATTTTCCATATACAGTAGCGCCAAAAGCATGCTGTGGTGGGTTCAAAACTTGACCATCTAAATTGATCCATTCTACCAGTTTAACTTCATTTGTTTTTTGATCATCGCTAGTTTGCTCCACCAACTGACGAAGCATAACACCTGATGGAAGAAATCTTGGGAAAAACCACAGTGGATCATAACCGTCAAATTAAAAGCACTCGAGATGGATTTCGATGTTTTGACTCTCTCTCTTTTGTTGACAGTTTGCCAGAGCAAAACAAAACAAACTAGGGCGCACATGTGTGCGTGTGCAGTCGTATAGTTTCGTGCGGTTTGTTTTCAGCCAGTTGGGTTGTGGGGTTGATGGATGAACAAAAATCGAGTCAAGAGGAGTCCAAAACGGAGGGGAGACGATTACATCGCACACTCACACCAACACATCGCACCGCAATTTCATCGCATCGCAGGAAATTCTCGCAGAAGCCAATCCGAAATCGAATCGAAAAGGCTCGCTTGCAAGTTGTCTGTCTGTTGGTGATTCTCACTTTCGGTGGAGAACGCGATTCGTCCGGACGTGTGTACGACGACGACGACGACGACGTTGAAATCTTCTGTGTGCCGTACTGGCGACGACGGTGTTTAGAGATAGCAATCGACCAGGAGCGTTTCCGTGAGGATGTTAAGTTTTGGCTGAAATTCGCCGGAACAAGCCAAATCGATTGAACTCGGTGCTGCGGGAGATTCTTCTTTTCCATTGCCGTCGTCAAGGATATTCCGAGTGTTTGAAGGCGAGTGAGGATTGTGTGTGTGGAAGAAAACAACAAAAAGTGTCGCGATTTTGGAGCTGTCAGAATTCTTGGTGCTTCCATTCGCGGTGAAAAATGGGATAAGAGTTCTCACGGAGTGCTGCATTCGGTTTTAAGTCCTGCCAGCAGAAATTTTGGGATGTTTTGGTCGTGTTCCGTGTTGCAGAGTAGATTCCCGGCGTAGGAAATTCCTTCCCATTCCGGAGGTAGGGCATGAAGTGTGTGTGGTTATAAGCAAGGATATCCGGAGTGTTGGTGTTGTTTGCGAGTGCAAAATTGGTTGAAAGGTGTAGGAAGTGCGTTTTACAAAATTTCAGTTAATGGTTCGTAATAAATGCTGAAAGTGGTGCGTGAGTCTCAATAAAAGCAAAAATAGATCTTGCTAGATCAGCAGTATCGCAGAAAATATCGGTGCGTGGTGTGCTGGAATGAAGTAAAGCAGTCGTTTGGAAGAACCAACAACCAAGGTGATTGTGAGCGGGCGAGAAAGCAGGACAGCGATATATAAACAAAAGAAGCAAAATATCGCCACTGGCAGCAGAAGGAGCAGAACCGACGACGAAATTGAGAAGAAGCAGACAAGATTTTGCCCAGAGCCGCATCGATTTTGACAGCTCTTCACAGCTTTGAAATGTAAGTGTGGTGGTGTTTACTAATTTGGTTTCGCTGTGCCTTCTTGCAGCAAGAAGCGGTGCTCATGATATTGGGTAGGATGTTGGATTTTCTATTGCCGCAACAACCTAAAATAATAATTTCAATGTTGTGTTTCTCGCTTTATCAGCTGCTTTGATTTGATTAATTGCACAAATACTTCGTTATTAGTGTAATAATGAAACAAATAAATATGATGCTGCTCGCGATTACGATTTTAGTCAATTATTTAGTTACTTTACATGTGCTGGTCCGACGTCCCTTTGGATGTGACATGCATTATAATTTCGCCAATAGTTTTTCAATAATATCTGAAAACATGCACCCAAAAGAATTGCATGCTCATATGTATTTAATTTTCTTACAATCATGAAAATTACTAAATTTTTCATGATTTTTACATGACCTAAGAAATTGTTACATTACTAATAACGAATTTGTTAGTGTATAACCGAACTTTTTATCAGTGCGTACCTCAACCTGAGATAGGTTTTAAAAATAAACGATCAAACTGACGTTTGTCAGAAAAGAAGCAGAGCCGATCATGATACCCGATCCAGGTTGGAACTGAATAATAAACAAATTCGCTATAACTTATCTTTGACCTTTTAAAATGAAAACATCACTAAATTGGCCATAGCCAATAAGTAATCTATAAAAATGCGATAGTTCAATGGAATCCCAATGGTCATTTGAGAACTTCGATTATTTTATATGTGATTTATTAATAATTAATCGGTGAATTTAATTTTTTAAGGAATATTTTTGATCTGTTATTGACGATTTTTTTTTTGTTATTTTCAATTACAAGTATACCTCAATGTAACGTAACTGTCACTTTTGACTTCCATCGCCGATTTTTCGCAAACGATCATTCAATCAAACAAAGTAATGATTCCATCGGAAAATCGAGACAAACCTCTATCCAGGGTTGCTTCCACTCACTTGCTATAATTTTTTTTTTCGAAATTATAAAGTCATTAGATGTTATTATGATATGTTGTACTTGTAAGTTAAAAGAAGAAGTTGTAAAGAATGTGTTTGACACATGAATCCTGTCAATTTCGCACAATCAGCGATTTTATGATTCGTGAGACACTTGCCTTCCAACGTTTTCTTATATCTAACAGGTACAAAATATCATGTGAGTGGGAGCAAGTCTGCCTCTATCTATTGGTAATGTTGATTTATACGATTTAATTGTTATTCGAGAGATCGACTATGACGGTCAAAAGTAACAGTTACGTTACATCGCATCGAGGTATACCTGTATATTTTTGCTATTTGAAGGTCTCCGATAGCAAGCTATCAACAATTTCTGACATATTTGAGATTTCTTATTCGCAAACCGTTTTTCATCCATTGCAGTTTGTTTTATTGTTGATTGCAACTAAAACTTGCTGAGCTGTTACAACAGGCGTCGATATTCAACAAATTCAAGCGTGACATTCGAAACCTTACAAGCTTTACGGAACCTTCGTAGTTCGTAGTTGGTGACTTTTATTCCAGACCCCGACATAGGAACTGTCTGAAAATGAACAAGGCGGGCAAAATACGAAAAAGGGACTTCTACATACATCACACAAGCAGATACATTTGCATTTCAGCCGATGGGAAGCACTCCTCCACCCTGGACCTAGTTTTAACAAATAATCGCATTAGCATGTCTGTTCCACTAGAAAATCCAATTCGGATCAACGTGCAAATTGAACTCTCTTCGCAAACTCCGTCAAGGGACGACTAGACAAGTCAACAATTTGGATTCCAAAGAAAAAAATACGAGGCCGTCGAATCTGATTCAGTTCCAATTATTAATTTCACCTCAAAAAAAAAAAAACGCGAGCTTCCTGATCAAACCAAACTGTTGATTCGACTTAGAAATGCACGTCGAAGATAGTTTTGTCGAGCAAAAGATCCATTCTTGAAGAAAATAGTTGACCATTTCAACCAGAACATTAGGAATATTTTTTTTTTCAAGTGGTTTCAACATATTTTGGAGGATTAGTAAAAAGATCACTTTTTAGTGACTTGGTCACTTTTTTCAAGCCAGTCACTTAAAAGTCTCCTTTTTAAGGTCAAGTCACTAAAGTAACTTTTTCTTGTAATCAGTCACTATTTTCAACTTTTTCAGCGTGATTTATTTCAAGATTGATCATTCTTTGATTTGTGACGTTTAATCGTCTTTCTCTATCTACAGGGTGTCTACTCATTTTCTAAATAAAATTTCCTGTGTTTTCCAGGTTTTTCTAGAACTTTAACGGATGAATTCCAGGCTGCTATTTTTAAAATGCGTTCAAAATATGTTTTTTTTCTGGAAGATCAAAGGCAACAGTTATTAACCCAAATATTTTTAAGACATGCCAATCAGTTTTAAAGAAACAACTTTATAATCAGATTCATTCAATGTTGAAGTTTAGCACTTACTTAATTTCTCACTACGATAGAGTTAAAAAAACGTACTTAATTTGAGTAAGTCCAAGATCTAAAAATATTCAATGTCTTGTAGTTCCATGTACAAGTTCAAGATATTGAAAATTTTCAAAGTGCCTGAATTAAGGAAAACAGTAAATGATTTATTTCAAGTTCGTAATTAACTTAATGAAAGATTAGAGATCTTCATTGCAGTCCCATTAACTTCACAACAATTGTAGGAACTTTGAAGAAGTTCTGAGGAATGAAAGGAAATGCTGAGAATTTCAGTGAAGCTCCATGAACAAACTGCGGGATCCACAGATCGGTTCTTTTAATAACCGAAGAATTTCAGGAACTTTTATGAAGATCCTAGAATTTCATCGCACATCACAGGTGTTAAGCGAACTTGAAAAATATAGAAACCTTGAGGGGTATTGTGCAATTTTTTTAGAAGTTCTAAGCCCCTCAGAAAATCTTGATCTAGAGATCTTTGGGGAATTTCAGATCTTAAGAGAAGTTTCCATGACTTTATTTCAGACTATTTGGCGAAGTTTAAATATCCTTAAACATAAATTTAGAAAAAATTGAAAATCCTTAAGTCCCAGAAATTTAAGGGAAGTACAGAGCCCATCAAAGAATTTATTATAACATAAGAAATATTTCAGGAACTTCACAGAAGTTCAAAGAATTTCAGGGAAATTTATCTTCAATAGAATTGAGAGCTTTAGGGAAGCTTCAAGATCATCAAGACAGATCAGAGAATCAAAGGGCAGTTCAAATAATTTAAAGGAAATTGTAGCAACCTTAAAGAAGTTCCGGAATGTTCAGCATAGCTCCGATAGATATTCTGGAACGTGATAAAAATTATATGAACATTCGGAAAACGTGAGTATTTTAAGGGTGTTATATCATGGAGATTTAAAAAAATGCGAAAGCTAAGTTGTTCCATTAATTAAAACTAAATGCGAGAACTTTTAGCAAGCAGCTATAAATATCTTCAAGAAATACCAGAGAACTTAGAATTGAGATAGTTTCATGATATTCAGCAAAGTTCCGAGTACTTCGAGGACGATCAGGTAGATTCAGAATAATTCCATTAACTTAAACAAATTTGCAGCGGCTTACAAGGAATTTCGTGGAATTATGGGGTATTCCAATAAGTCTATGATTGATCCAAAAACGTCAGAAAATTTGCCAGATTATTAAACAAATTAAGAGAACTTCAGGTAAGCGTAGATAAATTCAGGGAAGATAAGTGGACGTTTATAATGTTTAGAATAGTTAAGGAAAGTTGTCGAAACTTCAAGGCAAATCAATTATTTTCAGTAAAGTTGTGGGTTCTTAAAATATACTGATCAATTCAGTTTCTATTGCCAAGAAAAATTTAAAGAAATTCAATAATCGTTCAGGTAGTTTTAATAAGACCAGGGAAGTCTAGACTATTGAAGAAGTTTTAAATTAGTGTTGATAATTTAATGGAAATTTCATGAATTTCAGAAAAACTATGGAAACTTCAGTGAAAATCATAAAGCTATATCAATTATTTCGCTCTAATTCCATGAAAATTGCGGGGGCACAAAAGTTCCAGAAGTTTCGAAAAACTTCACGGAAGTTCACAGAAGGACAGTGGTCTTCAGAAACATTTCTAGAACTTTATAGCAATCTGCGGGGCTTAAGGGGAGATCCGCAACCCTCAGGTAATTTTATGTACATTAACAAAATGCAGGAGCATTTGAAAGAAGTTTAGTAAGCTCAGAAAATTTGAGCAATTTCAGGGGGAGCAGTTTCTAGATTTCCAGATAACTTCAGAGACGTTAAAAAGTTTCGCTTAAGTTCAGAAGTTCACTGAAGCTTAAACATTTTAAGGACGGTTCAATTAAATTCAGCGCAGTACAACAAACTTCACGAAAGCTGCAAAAACGTTCGAGCAATTTTGAGAATTTTATAAAAGAACAGAGAACCTCAGAGCAGTTCCGTTAAAATTAGAGAAGTCACATAAAGTTTAAAGAAGTTTATAGAACTTCAGCCAATTGTTAAACCTTTAGAAAAGATTCTTGATCGTTAGAAAATTTAAGGACACTTTAGTAAGTCCTATAATGTTTAGGGAAGTTTAAGAATTTGATGAGTAGTATTGAGAGCAACAGGCTAGTTTCTCGAACTACAAAAGAACTTCAAGGCAGTTTCATTAAATTCATGAAAAATTTGGGAAGTTCTGAAGACCTCAGAATAGTCCATTCCATATTCAATGGAAATTTCGATGAAACTATCCTCCGAATTCAATATTTTTTTTAGTTTTCCTTGGAATTACCCTGAACTTCTTCACAATAAATTTTTAATATAAATAATACTTTACATTAATACACAATAAATAAAATTTGGAAAGATTATCAGAATATTAATTGAATTCATTTCAGATTTCCTTTCCTCACTCCTTCCTTTGAATCCCACAACATACCTTGTGGTGTACCTCAAGAATCTGTATTTAACCCTACGCTCTACAATATCTGCACAAGCGATGTGCTCATGGTCGACGGTGTCATTGATTCCTTGTTTTCAAATTACACTTTTTGTTTGGC